TCCCCGACCAGGGGTTACTATGTGCTTTCCAACCGCATGCCGACGCCCCATGGTGCTTTGCAGCCACGTGCTTGGTGCTCGCATCCGCCAAACACAGGACCCAAAAAACGCTTTTGAACCCAGCAGCTTTGGAGCTCCTCACGCAACTTCAGCTGAAGCCTGGCAACCAGAAAAAGCACGAGTCATCAATGATCCTGCAAAATGGTGGAAAAAGTTCATCAACTGGTAAGCAATTATGAGCCATCCGTCCTTTAATTACAATCCTTTACAAACTAATTAATTTGCGTGATGTTGGCAAATGAATGAATTGAAGATTAAGCCACTTCCTGTATTCTTGAATGACCGACAGTTACCAGCCTCATAATCATAAACATATGCAGTATCATAATCTAAGATAATCTAAGTAATTAATGAACATCACTAGTCACTATTGTTCATATAGAACTGTTGGAGTGCAAAAAAGAGTGTCTTTTCTTTGTTCCTGTTTTTTGAGTCACATCTTGTAGCAAAGGGGCGTGACAATGTTTTTGCACAACAAACCAACACAAGTTGGAACGGGTGTTTGATGCATTTTTAAATGAATCTTCACCAACTGTCTACCAGTCTACTGTAAACAGCCTACCGGGAAAACCAACGTGCAAACGACCTGAAGACTTCAGCTCCAAGACCAGGCAGCCTTTCTCTCTTAGGGCAGAAATCCTATGCTTCAGCCCCTCCTTGATCTGAACTGTCTTTCGGCCGGCTGGTGGTGCCTGTGTCTTTCTTTCTTCACATGTGGATGCGGCCCTCAAAAAAATAAGTAGTGCATAATAGTCTGACAGTGATGAAGTCGGGACCTTTGGCAAGATTGGTTACCACCTGTCATTCCATAATATATGATCATATAGTTAATATGCATATTATGCAGTCTTGCATAGTTCATTGCGACTAACACTTTCCCGGTGCCAACGGGTTCTGCATGAACCCCTCCTCCACTCTTGACGGCACACTGTCACCAGGGTCACCCCCGCTCCCAATGCGCAGGAAACACAACCTCCACAAGACAACATGGGCAAGGGTACAATGGCACAATTGACATCAATTGACGCATATCAAAACAAACCAAACAACAAACAAACAAGGAGCAGGTGTACACGGTGCACCACCATACCCTCGCCGATGCTTCGTTCTCAGAATCGCCTCCTCTGCGACACCACCGGGTTGCTGCGTTTGTGCCCGGCTCCGTCGGATGCGGCATCCGCAGCGCTCCATCCACTCAACTGGAGCGGCTCGGTCCAATCACGGTGGATCACCAGCAATGGCCTCCACCCAGCGCTGACTCAGGACAGTCACATGGTCTCCGGTTTTACATCACCCTGATAACCCCTGTGCAAGAATAAGTCTTATTTTGGTGGGGTCTCCAGGGGTTCTTACCGCATTCAAATGCCCTGGATTGGTTGGACACGCCTCTAGCACTCTAGCGGTTGCAGTGCAAACGTCGTCTTCTTCCGCCACTACTTTCTTCACCAGCGGACTTTAACCAAATTGATTGGCTTCTCAAGTGCCTTTCTGAGTGGCCCAACGCCCAAATCACCAGTTACCCCACATGGTTGGGAGCTGCCACGGTCGGTTGGAGAATGCAAGAGCATGGAACATTCACAAATCACCAACCGATGGCACATCGGTTGGTGGTTTGATTCACCTGTTCTCCACATCTTTTCGCGTAACTTTTCACCTGAGGCGGTAGAGTTGAGCATGAAGCGGCAATTTGAGCCCCTGTTTGGTCACCTCGCTGGGTGATCCGAAACAGGCGGCGGTGTGTTTGCCAAAAGAATGTCCTTTCAAATTGGCTCCCTTCCTCCAAAGCACCCTGCTTATTCACGGCAAAAGGCAGCAAAGGATAGCAAAGGCACAGTATGGACATACATACCCAAGTGCAAAATTTATGGCATATGGCCGGAATGGCGATGGCTTGCCGTGTGATGCATACAGCAGTACACAATTTGCAGTCCAAAGAAGTGTGAAACCATGCAACTAAAAAATCCAACACTTGTTATCATCACTTTGCGCACCTTGGCTGCATCTCGTGAACCACTGCCGGATGCAAGCTCGCTCCAGACCCCATGGCGACCCTCTAAGTCGCTTTTCGAGCCAAAGCGGCGACTGACCGGTGACTTCGAAGTTGGTCTGGTCCTGCAGGGTGACCGAACAAACCCTGCGCAACGAAATGGGGGAAAAGTTCTTTTTTTGCGTTTGGGCTTTTTCTTTTCCGGTTTTGCCAGAGGAACCCTTGAATCCACTGAGTGGGGATTGCTCGGCCTGTTAAACACGCAGGAGGCTAGCCGGTCAAGATCACTTCAAGTTTCGTTTCACACTGAAACGGAACATGCCAACACCAGAAATGGAAACTGAGATGGACACTTGAATCTCTTCGGAGCATGCATTGAACATCGCGCACACCTCCGACACATCTTCATGCAGCGACACCGGCACAACACGTCTGACGCACTGGAAGTGGCCCTCAGTACCCACACGCTGCCAATCCTCAGTGGAGCTCGGCCGGCACCCGCTGAATCGCTGTCCGCGACCGAAGGAGGGTGGAGGACGAAGGAGTCGCACTGGCCCAAATGCGACCGAAGGAAGGAATTGAGCTGAGTTGGTGCGCTGAGTTACACCGAGTTGTGTCAGAGGTCACGGGAGTTGTCAAATGTCCACAAGGCCGCTTGTGGATGATTGCCTGCTCCAGAAGCTGTGATGTTGCAAGATGTTACCAAGGCTTTACACTCAGAGTTGACAAGCTTGCAAGCTATCAAATGGGAAGTAACATCTCAATCTTAGATCTGCGACGATCTGCGATGTCTGCGAGATAAGCCCAACAAGAAATAAAGGAAAGGACATTTACACGCGTGCAACTACTAGACTGAGTTCTAGACTCTAGCGGAGGAAATGATCAACATCTCTTCCGCATGTTACATCTCACGTTCCCCAAGAAAACATCACGGGTGTCGGTGCAATTTCAGGTAAAGTTGGGCTTCAAATGATGGTCACCTGTCTTGTGTGCCGACCCAGATTCTCAACGCATCTGCCTGCAGTCATGTGGCTATGAGCACTGGAATGCCGGGCTTGGACAACAATATGGCCTCACGAACCGGATTGAAAAGCGGTCTGATGATAGATGAGTCCAAATGCTGATGGACAAATGGGCCGCATTCTGCATCTTCTTGAATACTCCACTGCCACAATGTTTCACAGCATCATCCGGTCCCGGCTGGGCCAGTTTATCCGCAAACTGTGGCACATGCCTCCTTGATCTATCCTTGTCAGTTTGGGGAATCACCTGCTCAACCACCTGAGTGTGGCGATGCCTAGGCAATCAAACAAAGCAACAACGGCAACACGTTCTCTTTCGCACCATCCCCACTGAGCCAAAAACCTCTTCGAAGCTGTCACTCGAATGAACAGGGTCATGTTGCAGCTTCCGCGAGACTCTTTTCTCCAAAAGCCAAAGCAAACGCTGGCTTTTTAGTAGCGCACCACCTCTGTGAAGCTTTAGGCTCAAAGAATTCGCTACACAAAGCACAGAGTTCCAAGAAATTCAACACATAAAGTAATTACCTTTTCAGGGTGGGCTGACTTCTCTTGGGGACAGGTCGAAACCTAGGCATTGGGCCTATCCAGGTGGAGGCTGCCTATCTAGGGCCCCGCGCATCTAGAACCTGTAGGACGTTGGCGAACAAGCCTGATTCCCACCGATTGAAGCTGGATTAGATCGCTGAGGGCTAGTTTGCTGGGCTTTCTACCAAGGCACCACTGCAAAAGTTCAATGCAATTTTCAAAGACTGTGACTTGGTTCATGCCAGTATCCACAAGGACGTAGGCAAGAAAATTGTACTTTATTTACAGAGTGGCTGCCCACCCCCGTGAAATTCAGCAACTGTAGCAAGTCGACTTGGGATCAGCAGCAGCACGCTGCAAGTCGACCAAGTGGAGTTTGAGATGGTCTACAGTACACAAGTATGGGATAGATTGATTTATTATTGATGGATCAATGCTATATATATATATACATCCTGTATATATATATATATTATACACATCGATCGTGGGGTTCACCCGAGTAATTGGTCTGGGACTCCGGCCGTTGTCGTGGTAGGTCACCAGAACGGCATCGTAATCGCCCTGCAAACTAGCCAAGACTCCATGTGAACAAAAACATCCAGGAAGAGCAACAATGGTTGCTAACCGTTGGCACCTGCGTGTTTTGTTGAGCCAATGGTGATCTCAGTTGCTTCAAGTGGTGGCTCCCACCTCAGCGATACCTGAAGTCATGGGCAGATTACCACGTGACATGTTGTTGCAACTTATCAAATTGATAGCATATTGTCAACATATCGTTGCAACTTATCTTGGAGTGCTCTGGCCCATTAAATTTTGGCCTTGTCATCCATTGCTCATCCGAATGTAGATATTGGTCATCCCTTACGGTCCTTACAAAGTGAGGGCAGCTTGCGCTGCAAGTGCAGTGGTCCTCAAATAGCGACTTCCAATACATTTCTATTGGGGATTTACTTTTCTATTTATTTGGGATCACTCTCTCAAGGTGTCGTTCTTCCCAAGTCTTGCCGTACTCATTGGCCGTCTCCCATAATTTGCCACCTCTGCAGGTCACCTGAACACCTCCTGGAAAACTTATCAACGAACTCATCACCTTTCTCTTCCCCTCAAAACTGGGGCGGCACCATGCAGGTGGCACCGTGCAGGTTGGGGTGGCACCATGCAGGTGCCGGCTCGCCGCCTGCATGGTCCCCCCCCCACCACCCACCTGCCTGGCAGTCTTTTGCGCACTGGCGGCAAGCACACACGAGAAGGAGAAGGCTGTTTCAGCCGACTCGTTGCACATTGGCAAATGCCACCGGTAAAATGGACAGGTCTTGGGTTTTGTCGTAGGGTTTCAGGTTCTATCAATACCTTGCCCAAGGCCTCTGGTGTGAATTTTATTGAGATGGTCTTGGCTTCATTTCACCTACTCCTCCAATTTTCACCGATGCATTTCAAAGGGTCACTAGGGTTCCTTGACCCTGTCCGAAAGTGAGACTGCCCACGACCAGCACATCGCGTGTGCCGTCCAGCTCCTCCAAATCCCTGAGGGTTGCGTCCAAGTCCTGGAAAATCTGTTCCGGCAAAGAGATGCAGCCAGAGAGGTTCAAACGCAAGCCTGGGCGTCGACGCTGGCAGGGTGCCACGCCGGGACGAACCCTCTTATATAGGTTTTTAAACCCCAAAAACCTTCAATTCTAATCCTGGTTATAATAACAAATAATCCAATAATTTAACGATGGGTTCGTTTATCACAGTTTTTGTGACACCGCACTTTCTTCTAACCCAGGGTTAAAATAGCGACTGGGTGGGTTAAAAGAAATCCAGCCCACCACGCCAACTTCCAGAGTTAGATTACCATTCAAGCTTGAGAGTCTACCATCATTGCAAGGGTATGGGCAAGGAAACGGGAACGGGCAAATATAGATATAATTGATATATATATAATATATATATATTATACTTATATGTTTGCATACTTGTATGTTTGATCAACATAGTGGGTTTAGTTTAGCTTAGTTTGGGTGCCTGATGCAACCCTTTACCACCAAGTCCTTTTTCATCCATTGTATTAAAAAAAACACTGCAGGAAGGTTGCAATCCCTCTGTTGCTGAGCGAAATGGGGTCGTCTTTGTTCAGCTGGAATTCTTAGGCTCACCGCCAACTGACAGTATTCCCCTGACCACCTTTGGCTTCGCAAGTAAGCTGCTCCTCTGAGAGCAAAACACCTTCAGGATAGTGTGACAGAAAACAAATCCTGGAAGAAAGAACCTGTCAAATCTCGAATGTGTTTGAAGACTGGCTTGCTGCAGCAATTCGACCAACCACACTGAACGGACTTAGATTTAAAAGTACATGGGCGGTTTTGTCAGTTCTGCCTCCAATGCGGCAACACCAAGATCGAAAGGGTAGCCAAGGCTCGTTCCAAGGCTTCCTGTGCACGGAGGTGTTGACTAAGCTCTCCTTGGCGTCTCAAAAAATCAATCTTAATTACGGCAAATGCATTCCGGTCCTACCATTCGAAACAAGGGCATTGTCGTTGCCCAGAGTGTATCTCATCTCTGTACAACACTCCTTTGTCATAGTTATAGTCTGTCAGGTTGCGGCTTGCTTGGCCTGGGCCAATGAAATCTGTCTTGTCCTTATTCCACCCAAACATGGCATAGGCATAGGTGATTATTAGAGCGATCCTCAATTCTATAGGTCAAACCCTGGGTGTCACACAATTGAACCATTCGGTCCTCTGGGTGCGATCTCATCGCCCAACGCTGGGGAAACTCTCAGTCCAAGCGACCCAAAGATCTCAAACACTCGCAGCCTGCCACGTTCAACTCCAAGTCCTTAAAGAGACCAGGCCACGCGTGGCCGTTCCATCTACGGATCCCTTCTGAGGCTGTTCACACGCATGTTGAAAACCTAGGGGCCACCCTCTGAAGGTTTTGTGTGTTCTTTTTGTTTTACTTTCTCCCCTAAAAGGGAACCATCGCCATTCAATCGCCAGTGTTGGGATTCATCTCCACTTCTCTGCGAAGAAACATTGTGAGTCCGTAGGGTTCGTGAAAGCATTCTGCTCCTCTATACAGCTGACACAAATGCCTGCAAGTATGTCTAATTCATGCAATGCTAGTGCTAGTCTTGCTGAAGGCTGCACGACTTCTGCTGCACAACTTCTTCAACAATATTTAATCCGCACACAAGTACACTGGCGCTCGGTAACAAAAAGAAAGATATATATATATAAACATGTGTGGCGCACAAGAGAAGTGACAAACGCGTTCGAGACAAACGTGCTTCGACTTCGGCCAAGAGGTGGCGAAGGAGGTCCAGGAACATCAGGAGCACTTTTGGAAAGAGATCACTTTTTAGGGCAATTTTTTTCCTGCCATGTTCGCATCGATTCTCCACCTTTTTCCCTTCTTTGCCATGGCTCTGTCCAGGCTTTTAAGGACCCCAGGGGTCGCAGCAAGTCCTCCAGAGTGGTGAGCATGAGGCAGTCCTTGGGGACTGACGTCACGAACCGACAAATCGTCACTGACCTCGTCCCGTTGGACGAGTCACGCGTCGCCACCGGTGGCGATGCGTGCGATGCTCGGCAGCTGGTGCCGAGACACTGACTTCAGCTGGTGCCACAGCTATAACATATCTCTTTACACCCAGGAAGTACATGGAAGTACATACACGGCCCAAAAGCAAGCCAATTGGTGCCACGCCTACCAAAATACACCGTGAAGTATTGGTACCATGGCTACCGAAAGCGCCGAAAGTGTATCTCCAATTTGACCCTACACAGGGCATTTGGCAATTGTTGCCTTACAGAGCTTGTGATTGATTTCGATTTCCACATGCCACAGCACTCCCCGGCACTCCCCAGAAAAAACCAAAGGAAATGTGCAAAGCCACCATCCTAAGTATGGAGATCAACCCTTTCACCCACCGGTCTCGCGTCGTTTGGAAGAATCAACCGGGAAAATAAGTGCCGACCTCATAATTTTCTGACATCTATCAATCACTCCTGTGGGTTTGCGTCTTGAGCTGGTTACTACTCCCATGTTTTCGTCCGGAGATTCCATCAGTTTGGGAGAGAACGAACAACAACCGGGCCCTGCAGCCTCAATGCCCAGGCTCCGCCAGTCGAAGGTGGATCTTTCGCAAGGCCTGAGACTCACCACTGAGGATTTCCAAGGCCTGGGAAGTCGAGCGGGATTGTCTTCGGATTTTTTGGAATCTGTAAAGTGTCATGCAGCAGTGCGGCTTAGTCACAGGCACCGCGATTGTGCAGCATTGGAAGAAGGAAGTGGTCAACGCACATGTGCTAAAAAATTCAAGATCGGCTGCTTGTGCTACAGGCACATGCAGGATCCAACAAATCCTTTATCACTAGACCCCACATCGTCTGTAACCACACCATTACCAACACCTGGAGATCACTGCAGACTTCTGCAGGGGAAGGACGCTACTAGTAGCTCCTGTCCTTATTGCTAGTAACAAGAAGCTACTAGTAGCAAAGGGCATCGCTACTAGGAACCCGGGCATCGCTCCTAGTAGCTATTTGCTCCTAGTAGTATGGCCAGGAGCCACTAGTAGCTTCTTGCTAGTAGTAGCGATGCCCTTTGTTCCTAGTAGCAGGGACGAACTACTAGTAGCTCCGGTTCTGGGAGGTCGACCGCTCTCGCCTCGAGCTTTCGGCAGCCACTGACGTCCACGGTGAGCTCCTCCAGCTGTGGCAGTGGCAGCAGCGCGGTGTCTGTCGCGCCACCGGCCGTGCCCCCCAGGCGCGACAGGTCGCAGCCACTTAGGCCTTGGTGACAGGATTGCACATCAAATGTGGAAGATTTGTGTGCTGATATGAGGATCATCTAGCAGGATAGACTCCTAAAGTCAGGTTTGCGCAAAGGACGAAGGAATCAAATGTAATCAACGGCTTAAATAAACATTTGTTAACATTACAAGTTATCCCCAAAGGTGAAGGCTCATGTTGCCTGAAGCACAACGACAACGAAGTGAACAGCTCCGAAGATTGGACGCTGGGTGAGAATGCCCTATGGTACTGAGATTGACATCCTGGAAACGGGGACTTCTTGGCTTTGACATGCCTCTTGGAACTCCTCAAGAGGAAACTGTTTGGCTTTGTTTTGCGATAGACTTTGCCTATTGGCTCCTGGGGAAATATAGAACAGTTCAAGACATCTATCATCCCTTTTATATCTTCTTATTGGCCAACGTTTCTGGTTCACTGGTGGTTGATGCCGGTGAGGAATGATGCGCACCTTGTCTTCACTGCTTGTTTCATGGTTTGGCAATCTTCTTCGAACAAACATGAAAGCCAACAGCTGTGTCATGTAACCATGTTACAATGTTTCTCTTGCTTCGCAGCAGTTGGTTCTTTCGGATCTGAGAATGTTCGATCCCCCCCACCCACCTACCACTATACCCCTTAGCTGCAGCTGCCTGGTACTACCTCACAGCTGAGCAGTGACAAACAAAGCCTTTGCCGCGGTCGCAACATGCCTGACTGACCATTCCTCCGCCCCCAGCAACCAACCCCGGCTGTTCTGCATACTCCCAGTGGCTCAGCTCCAATACCTGGCCATCTGGGTCGATCGTGTGCGTTTGAAAACACCAGAACGCCTCACACCACCGGAATCTCAAGCTTCGCCACTTCAAAAAAAATTGACGAACATAATGACCTGACATTAATGACCTGACATACCTCATACCACCTCTCAAGAAGTACCAAAATGTGGGACTCCCTGGCATCGGCCATTGGGCCAGCTCTAGTGCAAGACCTCGTGCCCCATGCTCCGCTGCTCCGCCTGCAGCTGCATGGCACGCAAGCTCCGCCCGAAAAGCTCCACACTCGCAAGCTGCGTGGTGCTGTGCTCCACTCGCAGGTGCAAGTGCCGCAAGGGTGCCAAGACTGTGCGTTGCGTGTGCGCAGCAGCCGCGCTGTGGAGCAGGGCGCCCAGGTCCAAGAGTTTGGGACTGTCGGAGATGACAAGCTCTAGGGAATCCTCAGTCATCAGAACTCTGTTTGCACGGAAACGTGTGAACGCCTGGCTTCTAAATGTAACCTGGCAAGCTTCAACATGATTCTCCTATTCACTTGGCAACGGTTTTCGGATTCTAATTAGAGGCTTTGTTCGCTTGGAGCCTGCCATGTTTGGGCTTCTCGTGTCAGCGCCGTCGATGCTTCGGTGTGAAGCGATAGCGGAGCGAGTCCGGCACCGAACACTGCTGGTGAGCAGAGCGAGCCTGGAAGTGATGCCGGGAGAGACACCTACGGGTCAACCTGTTTCATATGATCATGGCTAAAGCAGTGGGCTCATTCCAAAGATAACAAGGACGTGAGACTGGTTGAACCAACGATTGGTGGGAGTTGAAGGTCCCAAAAACATTCTAATAAGACTCTACCTTGGTAGGTCCTAAGCCTCTCAAGCTGCACCAGCATCCAGCATCCGTTCTCAAACCCCTCCCTCCCAGCACCAGCATCCAGCTCCACTGGTAGAAAGTGCTGTAGCTCTTCCAAACTGTTGCGACTGCAATGCCTCACCTAGGTTTGCATCCAGCGGAACAGAACGGAACGCTTTGCTGAATCGGCTGTCAGAGGCCAGGGGCCGCGACGCAATGACCTCTCTGCTGCCACTTGATGACAATGGTACTGCCCACCACATCTTACATACTAGTACCACCTCTTCTTTGATACTTCAAAACACTGATGTTGTGGTGGGCAACCCTCACAAATCCCCCCTCTCTGGCTCCCCACAGTGATCAAGCCTTTCTTCCACGTGACTTGGATCTTGAGGTGTTGCAACGTCCGGAAGGGCTCCACACTGAGCTCACCGGAGACCAACATCTCCTCACCGGTGACACCCCTGTGGAGCGAATCGGCACCGGTGAAGGTCATTGGATGCAAACGAGGATGCAGGCCCTAACCATTGTGGCGTTTGGTTCCAATTCATTCAGCGGTTGAAATGCTTCTAACCATGGAAAATCCGCGAAACAACACGCAATAACCATCCATAAATAGAATCTATGATGTGGCGTGCTCCTGGCATTGCCATCCAGATGGACTGGCCCGCGTGGCAAAGGGCAAACACCAAAAGGCATCTCCAGCGCCCAAGGTGCCGTTCTTCATCACGCGTCGCACGAAGTCCACCACGGGCTCATCCTCGGTCGATGTTTCACACAGGGACGGCCTGAGTCTTTCCCTCCCTCCAAAAAAAGGGTAGAAAATCATGAAACACCTGTGACAGCCTGCGACCTGCCACTTTTGAGCTATTAGAATAAGCTGCTTGATTTGATCCCACGTCAGGCCCTCAGGGCACTAAAAGCTTTATCGGTGCCTCTACTGTTGCCCGAACTGCTCCCACTGCTTTCTCACTGCAAATAGGCCATCAACGGTCAAATCCAAGGCACCCAGGAATGCCCCACAAACCAGGCTGGAAGCTGTGCATAGTCCTCCCATGTTTCTAAGCAAAGGTACCTTTGAAAAATCTTCAAGACAATTCCAAGACAATTCCATGTATAATCATAACGATGTTTGATTATTCTTGATTCTTGCAAGACAAGGATTGCCCTATTATGTTGGCATGTGTTTGTTGCACTCTTGTGTGGCACATGGCATGAAGCTAGAACAAGACCTCAAAATCCAAGAATGAGCTCGACCTAGCTGGAATGACAGTTCTTTTGCGATCTGACTGCAACGTCTGCCATTTCCGTCGTCCTTCTTGGCAATGGCCTCCACGTAGCTACACTGATATCTCAAACTCAAGGGATGGATCAACCAGTATTGCAGCTGTGCGAGAGTCATGCTCCGGTAGAAGAGTTGCTCACCTGTCCTCAGCAAGGATTTTTTGCTTTCTTCAAGCTCTGCTGAAACATTGGACGTGGCTTTGTTCGGGTTCCAAAATTGAGATTCTGTTCAGAAAAGCCAGGCAATGAGCACTAGAATGAAATGGCTAAACATGCTAAACCATGACAATGACCTTTCAATGTTTTGAATAACTTCTGTCCTCAGAACTTTGATGAACGTTGCCTAAAGAATGGGAGCACCCGATTAGTCTAAAAATGCACCGGAAGGCCCCCCTGACACGGTGAAGGCTTGAGCATGTGGGTCACCGAGTTGGAGTCAAGCCCGTAGACATATTGTACTCACTACCGGCAGGCTACCAGGTTGGCCAAGTCATTTGTGCAACGAGGCGGGGTGATCTCTGTGCAACCCACCATCCACCTCTGCACAGGACCATCATCTGTTGCGCTTAGCTGATCAGCTTGGAATAATTCATTTCTTGGCCACCCATCCGCCTAGACCTCCTGCTCCCATCCATCGCCAGGCATCAAGTGATCGTACCAACCTCGGATCGCCTCCTTGGATGAGACACGATCAGCTTGGAAAGTTCAGGTGTCACCCTGGAGTCTGAGGGGAGGATGGTTTATATGGGCTGCTTCCTCCTACCGTACATTTTTTGGTAAGGCCGCTGGTCTTTTCATGTCTTTTCCACGGTGCGTCCAGCCGCCCCGCCAAGCACCCAACAAATCCAATTGAAGGATCAATGACAACGGATATCTTGTGAATCTGTTGGCTAGTGACGATGCGTTCTGAAACTCCAAACTCCAAAAGGGGTAAACATGTGCAACCTCCAGCCGACTGTTACCTGAGAACCTGGCCGATGAAGCCATCCCTGGTTGGAAATCGGCGGGGCAGGGCTTTCTTTGGCGCACCGCCGGAGGTCAGGAAGAGCCCACGAACCAAATGTTCACCTCTAGGCGCGCCCTCTGTTTCAGTCCATGCGTCCTCCTTGTCGCAGCGCTTTTTGACGAAGACCAAGATCTTTTTCAGCTGTTCGAAGTTGATGCCACGGTTTTCCCTTTTGATCCTGGAGCGGCACGGTCTACAGAGCCGCTCTCTCATGGTGAGGCGGTGAGGAGAGTTTGCACTTTTTGGACCAGTCGCTGTGTGGTCGTGAAGAAGTGCTTGATTTGGGCAGTAGAGTAAAGGCCCAAGCGATCTCTTCCAAAACGTTGTGGCATGACGGCCAAAAAGTATATATTTGTATTGGTACATACATACACGATCCAGAAGTGTACCTCCTAAAATGCTCCCGGCGCAAAACAAGGACACCCACGGAATGCGAACCCAAGAAAAAGAACACCTAATGCCTAGTAATTACATGTAATTACTACAATAGCCGGGCGAATCTCCACTGAGACCTGAGATCCGATTCCCGGGTCCTGAGATGTTGCCCCTCACGCGTAAGCTCTGAGAAGTCCAAATCCTTTGGTCTCAAGCGCCCCATGCTGCTCCAACTTTCCACGCTGGCCATCCGAGTCTCCGCGTGGTTCCGCTTTCCGCGCAAGGTCTCGGAGATGGTCGAGATTGGTCGAGTTGGGGGTCTAGAATTTGAATTGTGGTGGCCAATGGGCACTGATCTTTATAAATGCTCATCTCATCTTATCTCTCAGTCCAGGGGCACTGTTTGTGGGGTGGAGGCCGGTCATGCATCTTAATCCGGTTTCAGGAAGCACCGGTCGTCTGGGCCGAACTTACCCGTCAAAGCATTCCACCCACCGGGTTGAAAGCCCATGGGTGATGGGCGAAGCCCGCAGGAACTGACAAAGGTCAGGTCAACCTCAAACCTCGACGGCCTCTTTTTCGGTCTGTGCATGGTGTCGGCTACTGACGGCCCGTGGCTGTATACATGAGAAGCTTTGACGGAGCTGTTGGGTATGACGATGCGGTTGTTGGGAAGACAAACCAATCTCCAACGATTTCGTGAACAGGAGAGGCCAAAATCGAAGTGAACAACAACAATCGAGGCATCCATGAATAGGTGCATTACAAGACGATATTAGATTACAGTTATAGTTATGCTATACATATATTGGTACACCCTGCGTCAGAATGCTGTGACATGTTGATCATCTTGTAAGGCGCTCGGGCATGGAGCCGCATTCCAACAATTCCAACAAGTATATAGAGGTCTTTTGCCGGTCCCATTTCCACCCCCTCCCGGTCGCATCGACAACAGCCCAAGTGCAATGGCGATTTCCTCCTCGTCGTCCTCGTCGACTTCCTGACGGCGCCGGACACCGGGCACATCGGGCAGTCTGACGGCGTCTGGGTCCGAGTTGAAAAAAGACGTGGTCCTCAAGGGTCGTTGCAATTGAAACACACTGCCAGGCAGCAAAGACACACCATTATAGGGAAATTCAAGCCCTGATCTTCCACCAAAGCATCAACATTCGCTGGCCGGTTGATCAAATCATGAATTCCTCCAGGTCTCCAAACCATTTCGGTTCCACTCAGGCAATTTCGCCACGGCAGTTCCGGTCTCATCGCATCTTCCGCGAGTGCAACACTCAAGAAAAAAGAAGTCGTCGTGGTCATTGGACTCCTGTCGACGCTCACAGGTGGGGCTGGGGCGTGCCGGTGGTGCAGTCCAGTGACCTTCGTGGACGTTTTCCGCTGGGATTGTTGGTGAACAGTTCAAACGTGAATCGAAACAAATCAGCAAATAAAATACCATCCCGGGATGGATGTCTAGACGTATCATGCTTTGCGAATTTGGTTTGAGAATGAAAGAAACTACAAAGCACATGACAAATATCCTTGGTGTCTTTGTTCTGATTTGTCAACCCTCACATCCTCACACCCTGTTGTAGCTAAATGTCAAAGTCTTCGCCATGTTCACCTTCACTTTTCTTGCATGTTTATGTAAACCGCCAGCCCACTAAGAACATCGGGCATCAGTGTTTAATTGCTCTTGTGTGGTCCATGACCGCCCATGGTTTCTCTCCAGACATGTGCAGTATAAATAAGCATGCAAGTGTAATTAACATAATAAAGTCTATAAACTTCATCCACTTGAACTGGATCTCCTGCAACATAGGAACACAAGGGTTGTTGGGACACGGGAGTGGCTCCATAATACCAATTACCTACCCGCCCTTTCGGCTGATCATTTCCCACAAACACACCCAGAACCAGCGGTATACGTAGTGGTGGGGATTCCATATGATCGCACGGGGGAAGGCTCTCTAAAGGTAGAAGAACACCACCCAGAGGGTTCCGTTTGATTGCTACCCTGGCCGGACGGCTGATCCAGGGTCGTCATCAATTCAACTTGCGGAAAAAAGGCACGGAAATACGCTTCTCTATGCTTCTCTTCATCTTCCAGGGCAAGACCAGGTTCTTGCAAAGACTTCACAAGCTGCTTCCCATTCATTCCCAAACCACGGTGTTGGCACCTCTGTTGCCATAGCGAGCCCAGGTGAAACGTTAAAAGCTTTTAAAGCTAGGTGCCAGAACTTGGTCAAAAGTTCCTCAAATCTGTGATTTCTTGCGTGTGTGAGCATGTCTCGGACGGTCCAGGTGTGCCGGATGAAATTGACCAGCAAAGGTTCTCGTGGAACATCATACACGGTTTGAACACCGATTCCGTTCACGGTGCCTTGGCAACCTTGCAGAACCTCATAGAGTTTGGGGTTGAAATCTTCAGCAGTCTCTATGTGAAAGTGTGAGGATGCACTGCTGGATCCAAATTGGTAGCCCGCTGTGTGCCCCTATCTTATGTGCCATGGCTTTCGTGGGGTTCATGTCGAAGGCCCTTAGTCATTTCAATTGTTCGCTTGGATGTCCGACCTAATTACATCCTACCTACAGTACCTGTTACTCCTAATTCCTACTTGAGCCACCAATCGGCATGAGAGCAAGGCAGTCGCCGATTAGAGATATAATTATTAGAGCTCAAATCATGGCAACCAAAATCAAACATGAACTGATTGGCCCCTCTTTCCTCTTGGAGAAAGACGAATTCTGACCTCCTCAATGCGAAATCCGATCTCGACACGTGTCCGGTTGGCTGTCCGGTTCCGAACGGAGGCTTCCGGACTCAAAGGATCCGTCCGGGGTGGTTTCTCTTCCGAGGTGGGCCCTGCACATGAAAGCATGTGAGGCTTCCAGGCCTGAAACGGAACGTGGCATAAACAGCCCCAAAAAGACATGGCAAACGACAAGCAGAGCATATTGCAAGTTCGTTACTGGCGCCAGGCGTTGTTGAAACCTGTTGGAAACGGAGGCGTTGAGTGGGCGATGTCTCCGGAACCGTTCCGGCCTCGAAGCGTGAATCGCACAAGTCCACCAGCCTCGTGGCGCAAGTCAAGGACCACGGTGCGCGGTGCGCGGAGAAGGGAAGGGTCCAACGGATCTGATAGGGAGCCCCGAAACCCGTTCCACCCATCGATCCTTGGGGACTGGTTACATGATCGAGCAACACTTGCCTGAACAAAAAGAGGCGGATTGCAAAAAAATGTGGAAACAGGTATGGCCGGTATGGCTTGTGGTTTGCAAGACCGGCTTGATACAGATGTTTGGCTGCAATTATCTTCAACATCACGGTTTCTGCACTGACCCATCATCTATCATTCTCTCACCCTATCTCACCCTCTAAGATTTTGACAATCCCTTATCATCCTTATCCCCAAGAACTTCCAGGACAGATTGGTGCCTCTCGACCAGGTCATGATCACGATGTTTGAACTCCCTTCGGATTTCAACAGAAAGGTAGCAAAAGCAAAAGCAAATGCTTGAGATACTCCTGGGCGGTCGGGTGTTATATGGTCATGTTCTAATCGCCTCCTTATATGTCACACTCGTTGACAATCACACACACAAAGTCAGCAAGGTGCACTCCATCACACTCACTTCTTAGGCATCATGCACCTGGCTGCTGGAAACACCCGCCTCGGCAATGTCACTGACAGAAAGGCCTAGCCATGCCGCAGCAAGAGGCTACTATACCCCCCCTCACGCAATCCATCTGGTAGGACAAGTGCTCAGGACAACCAGCAAACCCAGGTGGTCAAAAACACACCCGGCAGGTTAAAGAACCCTTAGTCCCATATATAAGTCTTGTCCAATTCCCGTTGCGAACACTCTTGCCGAGGCAAGAAGTTTGGGCCCAGAAGCGGGTTGAGTCTGAAGCATGTCACCAACTAGCGGGTTGTTGTCTCACGTTGGAACAATTTTTACATGTTTACCGTGTCTGACTTGATACTTTAGACAATTTGTACTATCTCGGTCATTGGAAGCGCTGCGCAACAATTATATTGACCTTGTGTCTTATGACATACTCAAGTCTTCCAACAACCTCCGCAGCGTGCTGCGGTTGATTGGATGTGCTGCTTGTGGATCTACATACACTAAACTCACTAAACCCTCCCATGGGTGGAGTTCAAACCATTTGGTTTTGGAGGACTCCAACTTCCCTTGCTAGTGCACCCCCGACTCGATAGACATATCAATGGGGGGGCAGCTTCACCAACTACAAGACTTAGATTATATTGAATGACTATAGTTGTTTATCATCTATATCTTGTATATAAGTGAACATCTATCGTCGTGTCGTGAGACAAATGGTTCGTCACCTCACGTCACCTTGACGCACGTCAATGGGGACCGTGAGGTCCTATCCATCGTCCACAAAAAACAAGGTCCTGTCTATGGATGTTTTATGGTGAACATTTCAACACCGGCCCGGCACTTCATAGCCTTGCACACCGTGTCTGCCAGCAGGGGTTGCTCAGAGCCACTACCGGTCTCTAAGGCGAACTGACCTCAGATGTTTCTCAAGCTCCGGCCAAAGCGTTCGGATGCCAGGAGAGGTCCGACCACATCATTGACTTAGACTTGACTAGCGTACTTGGCAGTTGGTATATGCAGTTCTCATGTTCTCATTGCATTTCAGGCAGGCCCTCATCTAAGATCTTCATAGATCTTCCAAGTGCCTTCCCAGAATTCTTATTCTCACCGAAGCCATCCACCAGTGACGGGGCAATTGTGGGCTCGTACTTGAGATAGACTTTGAACATCGCCTTGTTCTCAAAAAGAAGCAATCAATGAATCTCCGCTTGGTGGTGCTATCTAAAACTATATACTCTTAATGAAATCTGGGGACCATCTTGCTCAAGGCTGTGCTATGCTGGTGTTTTCCGGTGATTCATGGTACCACTCCATGGCGTCTGGTAAGGCTTCTTTATCCAAGTTTGGGGCACACACACAAGAGAACTAGGGCAGGATACTTCTGGCATACCAAAACGACGCTCAGGTTGCAGCAAGCTTTCAAGAAGGCTGCCTGAGCAATAAGAGCGAATCTGGCAAACATGTGTGGCTCAGCAGTTCAATATAATTACAGGTAGTTCAATGCAACATCTTTCTTGTGTTCACTCAACGCGAGTGACAAAGTTAAAACAAGTGGGGTGGTCCCCCAACCATCCTCAAGCTTTCATAGGCTCCAAACATCTATTTCAATGCTCCGATCCTTTTTCCCTCCTCTTCTTGAAGTGCGCTAACATCGCAAACTTCAATCAATCTACAGCGTGTTCCATCGTCACATCGTCTCCACACAGCCTCCATATCATCCGTGTCTTGTCACAGATCTCTCCCCATCCTTTCCGTTGGTTTTCGTCTCCTCGACTGTCTGCTCGGCCTCCCGGTCTGCAGAGGTCACGTTAAAGAGATAGGTGAAGTAAAGCTCTTCAGCCTTCTCAGCCTCACTGTACACACTCAGCAAGCAGCAAGGAAACCCGCCAAACAGAATCATTATTGACATGAATACTGCTGAGCCTCTCTGTCTTAGAGTCCTGACTGGGTAACCCATTGAAATTCAGGGTCAAAAGCATCCAACCAGTTTGCTCGGTTCCCGTGCTGCATCATGGTTTCCGTTGAAGGAGACCTGGTCACGGGTTAAGTTGCAAGGCATCCTAAAGGAACATGCCATTCCTTCTTGCTTGGGGGTCACTGAAAGAACATGTGTCCAAACATTGACAGATTGTTCAACTACTCTCCAGGTATGCTTCTTTACATACTTGTAAGATCCTACAAGGGGTGACCTTTACAACAATAAGTTCATCTCCGTGTGACATGTTTTCTTCAACAGGAGCAACCATATTTTATATAAGATTGCTATATAAGCCCACGTTCCGGGGCCTCTTGGAAAACAATGCCAGCTGGGACCATTTCTGGGAGCCTGTAACCAGTGCCTTTATCGGCTTTCCAATCCCATTCTCACCCGAAACTTGACCCCTTCGCCTGGCGCCCGAAACTGAACGGCTCGGAGATACCAACTGTTCAATCTTTCACTTCGACCTACGTAACACTGTCAAGTCTCGTTGTCTGCAGCCAGAAACTACGGCATCCGGTCGACCCCGTCACGACTCTCGACACGACTCTCGTCACCGAAACGAAACGCAGTGACTGACGACTGAGAGTCACCTCCCAGTACGGGGTGACATAATCCAAGAGTTCCTGCAACTGCCACTGGAGAAGTGAAGGGGCGCATCTATAAATGGGGACTAGTCTAAACGATTCTAAATACTATGTGGGAGGAGGACCATCTATTTGCAAGCGATGTTGGTTTTCGTTGTTGTTTTTTGTTTGACCACCAGGTATGTGAGTCGAGATGATTGAACAATGACCGAACGTCGGAATGCAAACCCAACAAAAGACTGGCTAACTATAATTCTATTATGACAAACCAATGACTGGGAGACATCTTCTCATTCTTCTGCAAACCCACATGCCTGAATCATCCTGAATGCACGCTGGCAAGCACTGGACAAAGCTCAACAAAAAACAATCTCACCAAACACTATCACACACCTTTGTGGCTGGGCATTGTCTGATCAATTGGTCCTTAGTCGTTGACTTGCGCTTCCTCATTTGCTTGCTGCTAGCCCCTGGAGGAACAGTATACCTATCCTATATAGAACCCTTCTTAATTGTAGGTATCCCTATAGTAGTAAACTGTTGTTCCCGCAAACAACCACGCGCTGAAATGTCCAACAAAACCCAGAAATTACAGTAATCCTATACTACTTCCTATACTATGTAATGTAAGCCCCTGTCCAGAATGGACATTGAATCCATTGGGTGGGTTTCTCCCTTTGATTTGATTTCGCAACCTCTTCTCCAAAGAAGGTTCGCACACACGACGTGAACACTCGCATCTTCGTCGTCGAATCCTGAAGACCCAACTCCTGGCTGCCGGAGTTCGGTGATGGCTGAACCGTTTGGTGAAATAACTACTGAGATTGGATAATTCTCAGCATGCCCCAGTCCTCAAGTCACCGAACGTCTTAAACTGGAGTCCATGCCAGTTGATTCGGGCCAATGGAAGTTCCCCATTATCATATCCCTCGGAGGGAAAAAGGGGCTACCTCATGTTTCTTGCCGTGCTTTCAGGGCTACCTCCCGATAAAGAAACCCACCCAGTGTTTGTCCAATGCTGCCAACAGCTACTGGACGAAAAGCACTC